GTGATTATTAATATATTAATAATTATGATTTTATCACATGTAAAATGATCTACAAATGCGTCGAATCCGCCCATATGTTGGGCCAATGAAAGTTAAGAATTTTGTTATATATAAGTTACAGGAAGTCAATTATGAAAACAGTTATAAATCTTTCGTTAATAGTAATTATGTCAGGACCAAACCACTCACACACACCATATACCTACGATCCTACAGGCTATGTTTCCACATCTAACACAGCAGCTTCGTCAACTAGTGATCTATCCCAATCATACTATGGATACGATTATACAGCATACTCTTCTAATGTTCCATATCAAAACACAAATAGCGGCACTTACGATGGCTATGATTATTCTTCATATGGTAGTAGTAATTATTATTATCCTACGACAGGAGTGTCCTCTGCACCAAAAGCATCTACAGCTACTGTGGTTGAAGCACCTCCAGCCATTGTAAACACATCCGTTTCCATGTCTTCAGGCAAATCTGGAATTATGCATCAGCAAGATAGAGGAATGAGTTCTGGTATCCATCAACCAAAAGATGATATTGTGAGTGGGCATCTTGATATGCAAAGTGGTATTAATAAGCAATCCACTTCAAAAAAGAAACCAAAGACAATTATTAGAGCTGCAGGAGGTGAAGTTTGGGAAGATCCAACATTACTAGAATGGGACATTAGTACGATATTTTTTTTTTTTATAATTGATGTTTTATTCAAAAATATATTAATGTATTAAGTCAAATTTTATTACAGATGATTTTCGCTTATTCTGTGGTGATCTCGGCAATGAAGTGACAGATGACATCCTTTACAAAGCGTTTAGTAAATATCCCTCTATACAAAAGGCCAAGGTTATCCGGGATAAACGAACTAATAAGAGTAAGGGATACGGATTTGTTAGTTTTAAGGATGCGGATGAATTTGTCAAAGCGTGGAAGGAAATGAACGGTAAGTTGCAGTTTTTTTTTTTATTATTATCATCAGTTTTTTGGATACTGAAGACTAATTGTTTTTCTGTAATAGGAAAATATGTAGGTAATAGACCCATAAAATTACGAAAAAGTACATGGAAAGAAAGGAACATAGATGTCAAAAATAAAAAACACCATCCTTACAGATAAGGAAACGCATCTCTTACAAAAATAAATGCCAAAATATTCAAGAGAATGTAATAGAATGTAATGATTGCTAATTCATTTATTGTTTGTTTGTAATAAAGAATAATAATGTAAGATAACCTCTGATATGTGTAAAGTCTATATAATTGTTTACTTTTTTCTATACTGTAAATTATCGTTTTGATTGCCGTTTTTCCATTTTTTTTTGGCGATTGCTTTTTTCCGGTGGAATAGTTCCTTCGTTACCTGAAAACATGCTTGGTTGTATGAAAAGCGTCCAGATTTTATACAACGCATATAATGGTATCTTTTGATGAAAATTTAATATTATATGATGAGATCAATAAGAAAAAGTTTTTTAAAATTTATCCAGAATGACTTACCAATAAGTAAAACCACCAAACTCCTTCATATAACATGCTCCCAATGTGGACAGCCCATGTTACATAAATTATATCGAACATGTATCTACATGTAATCATTTCAAAACGACAAAGTTAAGATATGCTCGTTGAGTAATAATTAAATTAAAAGAAATAAATGCTTACTCGATCATTCCTTTAGAATTTAAATCAGTTCCTGGCCATTCAACATTTCCACCAGGTCCAAATCTGGGAGATCCGAGTGATTTGAGTTTTGCCCCTAAAAACATACTAATGCTCAAAGTGACAAAGTATAACGTGGCGATCCCAAATCCAAATGTCTCGAAACGATATAAAATTCTAAAGCAAACATAAATCGCCTAATTAAAAAGAACAAAATTAATTTTTACGTTTCGCAGTTATATTGGTGTTATTGTAAATTTACTTACATTTACGATGATGAATCCCCATTTAAGATTACTAAGACACTTGAGATTTTCTTGTGCAATTTTTTTGTCTGATTGTTTTGCCTTTTAAAGCGAATACCATGTTATTAAGTAAAGGGGTTGTTTATAACTTCTTGTTAAATTCTTACCATTTTGACTTAAACACGATATGGGATTAAGATAATTTACTTCTATATATATGTAAATTGAATGGTAGTACAGTTCCAATCAGCAACATTGGCTATATCATGAATACGAAATCTTTGATCTTGTATTAAACTCCAGTTTATCTTCATTTTTATCATGGTTGGTTTTTTTTTATCCTTGATTATCGGGATTAATTCATAATTCATAAAACATAACGACGATATGTCACTTGTTGGTTAACTGGGATCGTAGAGACACTTACTTGTATGTTAACTATAGGTTGTCCTCGCGGCGGCGATATGCACAAAAGGCGGGAAAGGTATTTGGCATTCGTTTATCTACATAAAATCAATTTTTTTTTTAATTTTTATCATTATGAATTTTAGGTGTGATTTCTCGGCAGTTTAGAGAAATGCCACGTGCCCGAATCGAAGGTCTACTTGCATCTTTTCCAAAGTTAACTAGTGCTGGACAGCAACATACTACTATTGAGACTGAACATGTTCGATATGTTTATCAGCCGCTTGACGAGCTTTATATGGTTCTTATTACAAATAGACAGTCTAATATTTTGCAAGATATTGACACTTTGCATCTATTTGCTCGTGTGGTTTCGGATGTATGTCATTCAACTGACGAAAGAGAAATTTTAAGAAATAGCTTCGAATTGCTGAGTGCCTTCGATGAAATCGTGTCCTTAGGGTATCGAGAAAATGTTAATCTCGCTCAGGTCAAAAGCATTACGGAAATGGAAAGTCATGAAGAAAAGATCCAAGAAATAATAGCGAGGGTGAAGATTACACACATATATATACTTTTTTTAACTATAAAAAGAACAACAACCTTAATTTTTTAATTGCAGAATAAAGAGCAAGAAGCCAAAGAAGAACTAAAAAGAAGAGCTAAACAATTGGAAATGCAAAAGAAAGAAATGCTCAAAAGAGGAGGTGGTAGTTCGTTTGGAAGCAGTTTTGGACAATCTATCAATAGACCATCTTCTTATGCTGAACCACAGGTGCAAACATCCTTTGAAGAAGGTATACGTTCTACGTATAGTAGGTATGATATCAATATAAAAAAAAGTATCTCCTAATTATACAAGTCAAATTATTCTAATTTATCTTTCTTATTTAGTTCTCCGACACCATCTCCTTCTAAAGCTAAGGGAATGCAATTAGGCCGAAAACAAAAGGGTGCTGATTTGTTTGAGGCTGTTAAGAATGAAGTTGGATTTGATGATGTATCTGAAAAGGCTAGTGTCAGAGGCACATCTATTCCAAAGGTTCCCGTTGAAAGGTGTGAATCTTCAGATACTTTTTCTATGATATAATAATCTTTGATATTGATTATCATTCATTGGGATGATTATTCATGCGAATTTTTATAGTGTTCACTTATCAATCACTGAAAAGATATCTCTTCAGGCTAACAGAGATGGTGGTCTTGAGAATTTAGAGGTAAAAGGAGATTTAGAACTCACCATTTCTGATCCAAATATGACACGAATCAAGATTTCTGTTCGTGCAGTTGACGATGGCAATCTGCAACTGAAGGTTTTTTTTTTTTTTTT